CCAAAATCCCCAGACATGAACATTATTGAACATATTTGGGGTGTCTTGCATAATGTTCAGAAGATATCCCCACCCCCTCTTACTCCCACTGGTTTATGGACAGCCCTGCAGGATTCATGGTGTCAATTATCTCCAGCACTACTTCACACATCGATCGAATCCATGCCACATCGTGTTGCGGCACTTCTGCGTGCTCGCGGGGGCCCTACACGATATTAGGCAGGTATACCAGTTTTTTTGGCTCTTCAGTGTAGATAGGGAGAGTGTGAACTAATAGTGGAAATTGAATATTACTGCGGTTTTCAACTATTTTCATAAACTAAATATAATCTCAAAGTAATATTTGCATTTATGTTATTTATGCTGTGAGCATTTACTATTAATTGGAATATAACATGAGTTTATTTGTTAAATTACTTATTAAGTAAGGATAAAAACAACATTTATGTAAAAATTGACATTGAATAATATTGATAGTCTTGTACACGCATTTCTAGAAAAGATCTAAGTAAATGTGAATCCTATAAGAAATCAGGATAAGGCACAGCAATTAAAAATCTTAATTACTTAATGCAGATTATATAATTTATATTATCCTTTTATATCGAAATAGTTTTTATCATATGATTCCATTATTTAAAATTAATTGAAATAATTACTTACTTAATTATTACTTAATTTACTTTTTTGCCTGCGAATCTAAAATTTGATCCGATTAATGCCGAATCTAAATTTTGTACTGTTTTCTTTTATCTTAAACTAGTGTTTTTAACAGAATTTCATTGTTCAAAACTCATTGAAATACTTTCTTCTTCACATTTAATAAGTATGACACGCTTTCAAAATTACATAACTTGAGTTTAAATAACAAAGCAAATAGCAAATTTTAAATAACATGTAACGAAAAAACGAACAATAATAAACTAAACGAATTTTTAAAAAATATATTTAAAAAAAAAGGAAAATATTAACCCCATTAATTGAAATTTGAACTAAACATTCTTAAGATAAAATATGTACATAAGACTTCAACATATTTTTCAAAATTACAATGTTGAAGATTTCTAAATTTTTACAGTTAGGAAAACTTAAATTACCTATTATTAGAGATCTTAAATTAATAAAACACAAACGATTCAATATTAGCTCTCAAATATGGATAGCATTAAGAATGTCATATCCCATGTCACACAATTTCACAAGTATTATTAGTGACATATCACAAGTATTAAATTTTCTTTTGGAAGAACTTTAACTCTCTAACAAAAATTATGTATATTGAAAATGAAAAGTTTTTATTTATAATCATATTTTAAACAATACTATAAATTTTGATTGCCAAATTAATAAAATAATTTAAATTATAGTTTGAAAATAAAAGATATTTTATTGATTCAAAAATTTAATAAATTTAATAATGCTGCTATACAATAATTCATAATTTTAATAATAATAATTTTAACATTCTAGAATAAAATTCTGCCATGGAATAGAACAATCAGCGTAAGCAACAAAATATTCAATGAGTTCTTTTATGTATTTGGCATCTTTGAATGAAAAGTTACTTATTGTTACGTTTTTCAAAAATAGCTTTTGTTCTATCAGTTTTTCGAAATTCCATTTTAGTGTTCATAGCAATAGAAATAGAAAGAAATAGCTGTCAAGCCACTTTTCTCGAAATATATCACGAAGCACTTACGTTGTTTTTTTAATTGTTTTTTTACACTTCTTTTTAATAAAAAATTTTAAAAAAAAAACTTTTATTCGCCGGATTTAGCAAGCAAAATATCTTCAAAACTTTGAAGTAAAAAGCTGTGTAGAAATCGTTAGTAATTTCAATTTCTTAATTCATTCAAATTCATTACTATTGTAATTTATGACATTAAATTGAAATATTATCTAAAAAAAAACAGCAATTATCGCAATGCTGTTATCTCATTTTAAGTTTCGGAACTTAACAAACATGTGCTAAGAGTAGCTTAAAAGTTGAACTAAGTAATAACATTAACTAATAGCTTGATGATGTAAATCATTTCCATATGTCACCAAACGATATCAGAATTATTTTGCCTTAATAAGATCAGAGTTCATTACAGAAACACTTCAGGGTTTTTTTTTTACACGCATATGATTTCGAACTGAAATATGATCTACAAATAAAAACAGCAAGTATTCATCATGTATTAATTAAACTAAAATCGTTCGTAAAATCTTCTCAGTTTTGTAACCGTATCTACTGCCAGGAAGTCGTTTGTATGACCCTGTACTGTTTACCAACATTGATAATGTAATCACCGCCCTTAAAGACAACCACACAGGCTGTGCAGTTCGCCCACCATTTCCACACCACATGAAAATGAAAAGAAACGCGTGGGAAGGCAAATCTGAATGATAATCAGCAAACACTAGCCCAACTTAATAATCAACCACAGGTACATAAACCTTTTTTTATACCAGGTTTACATACTTCTCATTAGTGAATAGTGATAAAAATGCATAACAGCTATTAACAACATGAAAATCAATTGCAGAAGAACGAATCACTTAAGGTCACCTCGAGAAGAAAGTTTAAATTGAATTCATAAATTTAAGTTATGTTTGAGTTATAATTAATTTATGTTATACGTGTCTTAAGGGTTTTGGTTGCGCAAGGAACTATTCTCCAATGGTTGTGTTGTTAAAATACATATTTTGATAAAAATATTATTTTTAAACTAATTTTTTTAAGAACTTTTTTTTTGTTTCAATTAATGATCAAAATTGTATTATCATGATTCGATACCTCACATTTGTGAATAGTGATAAAAATGCGTAACAGCTATTAACAACTTAAAAATCAACGTATCACTTAAGGTCAACTTCTCATCATAGAAGTTATTTAAGTTATGTTATTAAGTTAAGTTATTAAGTCTCACTTAAGTTATGTTTAATTTATGTTGTAAGTGTTTTAAGGGTTTTGATTAGGTGAGCAATTATTTAATGAGTATGTGGTTAAAACACATATTTTCAGGAAAGTATTATTTTTAAATTAAATTTTTTTATGAAAAAAAAATAATTTTTTTCAATGAAAGTTCGAATTTGTATTATCAGAATTTCATATCTTTATTATTAAATAGTGATAAAAATGCATAACAACTATTAACAACACCGAAATCAAATTTAAAGAACTAAGTGGTGTAGAAAAATACATAAACTCCATGTAGAATAAGTTAATAAAACAATATTTTATTCCCCGATTCAAGAAAAAAAAATAAACATTTATTTATTTGCTTTATTTTGAAAAACATAAAATCATTGAAAACTTTATTTCGATATTTAATTCGACATCTTCAATATATAAACAAATAATATATGAAGTAAATACCCTTTTTAATACTACATAATTAACTAAGACAAAACGTGCACTTTTGAAAAAGTTATGTTTTGAAAAATTTATACTGTTGCAAAAATTACTAACAAATGCAGTGTTTACTGGTCATCAAAGTACAATTACTGTCAGAAAGTAGGGAGGGATGATAAAATAAGGTCTCACGTTGAGCCTCATTATTAAAGAAATAATTGAACCCATTGTATTACTTATTAGCCATTATTAATTCCTGATTAAGAAAAAGAAGGATCTGGGTTTAAAAATATCATTGAAGTTTCATAAAGAAAATAAACAAACGACAAAATATCGAAAAGTAGCTATTCTTAAAAATTAAATTGTGAGTTAATTTACTATTATACATTTCAGTGACATTAAAAATCATTAAAATAAAGTTTGTTTGATAGTTAAAACTTTTTTTCAAATCTTTACAGTGCTGTCTTTTTTAATTCTCAATTTTTAAAAACATTCTTGAGATTTAAAAAAAAAGAAATTTTAGGATCTCTCCTGTGGCAACATGCAAGGCTGCTTTCTGAGGCTCTGGAGTTACTGAGAAAATTGCATTTAATTCTGCAGCTTAAGAACTTTAATTTATTTTATGATGTACAATAAAATAAAAACTCAAACCCATTAATTTTTTTCTGTGTTAGGAATAAAGCTTTGAAAACTACAATTTTTTAGCGTGAATTATTCATGTGTTTTTAACGGTAAATTATGACGGTAATAATTTTTCACATGTCATACATAAGTTCATCTTTTGAATACATACTTTATTATAACGCATTCAAAGGCATTGAGATAAAATACTTTTTAAATTGTGTATTAACGATAAACTTACATACACTTTAAAAATGCAAAATGAATAATTTATAAAGATTACAGAGTATTTTTGGACAAACACTCTACTTTTTTATACAGGAGGAAAAATTTAGAAGTAAGATACTTAATTTTAGCAACATTTTACTGAGTGAGCCTATATGCTTCACTTTGTTACTATGAGGGAAAAGAAGCTGACAAGCTTGACGAAATATGCTTCCAAGATAAGATACTGACTTGATTTAGGGAATTCCGATATGTGAGGTGCTTTTTAGGTTTAGATTCCACAAAGGGGAAAAAAATATGATGCCAGAAAATATAGTAAAAAATATTGCTCTTTTTTCGTATGTAATAAAATAACAGTTACATTATTAGTAAGGAATAATTTAGTTTTTTATTTTTATTATTACGAAAAAAATCATTTCAATTAAAGAATAGGAAAATATTTTATAAACACACAAACTATTTTCATTTTAAAAACTGTCTCATGCATAATATCACAGAATATAGTTATGCATACGTGTATTTATATTGGAAGTGTGTTACAATCTTTTCACACTTATTGATATTCTTCAAAAACTCTTTTTAAAAAAATCTTTATTTAAAATAAAATCTTAATAAATTCTTATATAGTATACAAAATGTTAAATTATATTGCCGAAATTGAATTCAAAATGTGTAGGAAATTCAGTTTATTTATTAGGAATAATTATTAATCTATTAAGAATGGTAAGAAAAGTAATCATTATTGATCTTTTCAAACTAACCTTTGTTCTTTAGCTTGTAAATTATTAACCATTACTACAGAAATTTATTTAAATAGAGGGAAGAATATTCTTGAAATGCAATGACTGAATCAATTTCATGTGCATTTAAATAAATAATAAAAACAAACAACCGTGTCATGAGATAATCTCAAGTCCCAACAAGCAGTTAGAGAGTATAAAAACGAACTACGTAGCTAACTTGTATTATACGTTTTCATCAGATAAATATTCAAGCATCATAATAAAAATACAGTATTAGTACTGGATTAATAATTAAAAATATTTACCTGAGTTTTTGTCTGTACATCACTAGTCCCAGGTCTCCATGTGCTAATCAAATTAGACTTCGTTTTATTCCCACTGGATGTTCTTTCCAGAGCTCTGTCAGGAGCACATTCAAATAGTAACACTCTTTCTGCAACTGAACCTTTGGTTAAAAATGGACGAATAGGTGTATGTGAATGGCGGTCTGTTGGTGACAGAGATCTCTCTTTGATGTGTTGCTTCTGAGCAGTGGTCAATTTAGGATGAGGTATTGATGGACTAGGAACATCCAAAAGTCCCTCCATGGAGAGAGTTCTTTTATGGCCACCTCTCTGATATGAGTCCCGCAAAGGGTCAGCCATATTATTGTCAATATCTGTTGTGACAAAGTGTTCATTCCATTTTTGGTTGGAGATATTCTCCCACATTGTTTTAGCTTCGCTGACTAGATGGCCATTTTTGACAGGCTTTGCCTTATTTTCGTTATTAGAATTTACTTGGTGGACATTTTGCATTCGATTTATGGCATAGTCTACAGCTGACTGAACATGCTCTTGTCCAGGTTTTGGAACAATTTGAGGGTTATAAATATCATTAGCATTTAATTTCAAAGGCTTACTTTGGTCAACTATTCTTCCGGTCTCGCTTCCAATAAAAGGGACTAAATTTTCGTTAAAATGGCTAGCTGCTGCTGGTAAACTATTTTTTGAGGAAGCCGGTTCGCTATAAGGCACGGAAGAAAGACTAGAGTTTTGAAAAACAGTAGTTTGAATATGTTGAGGTATTGGCTCGGGTGCTGATGAATTCAATAAGAGTTCTTGCAATGCATCTAAAGTAAGTGGACCACTTCTTGGTGGATCCAAAGATGGCAGGTATGCATCCTGAACAATAGGTCTAGGCTTTTGCACTTGCCGTCTTTCAAGAGAATTCGAAGGAGAATTTTGTAAAACATCTTTTTCTTTGGAAGTGAATTTTGTAATCTGCGCTTTAACACCAGTTTGTTGATATTCCGGAGAAGGTTTTAAGGCTGGGAAAACTGATGACTTCAAAGGCGGAGAAGTTGCTCTTTCGCGCAAACTCTCTTCATATAAAGCGGCAAAGGTATTTAAATGCTTACTCATCTGGTCAAGAGCACCTTCTAGCGATGTGTCTCCTGCAATGTCTGTAGTGTCAGGCAACAAAGGCTTAACTTGGTTTTGAGTTACAGCCTTTTTACTGGAGCCATTTGACTTTCCAGATAATGAAGCATCACTGGAAAGCGAATCATCATCAGATGATCGGTCATCTTTTACTTTCACTTTCTTATCATACTTTTTGATTGAAGAAACAGTTTTGCCAGCAGAAGTTTTTGAGTTTCCTGCTGCGGACTCTGCTTTTTTACGAGCAGCCAAACGAACTTTATCTTGAGCAACGAACGAGCTAACCAGAGCTTCTAGCTGACCTTCCAGATCAACAGCTAGCAAGCTGACAGGATCCAAAACTTCTATGTCAACTTTGTTGGCATTAGCCGAGTTTGATGTTACGACTGTTGGTGAAGTCATTTTGGATATATCACCTACTGATGGACTTTGTGGATTTGAAATGGGTGTCTTTTGAGTAAACAAAGGTGAAGGGGTTTTATTTTGTGGTGTAGATATATTGAAAATCTCACCTACAGTTGAAATGTTTCCTTTTGGTGTTCCTGGTGAGCTGGGAGTTGAGGACAAAGGGGATGAAAGACTACCTTTAGGAGTCACAGGGGATGGCGGAGATGAGGTTGAAGCTGGTGGTATTGAAAAAGAGGGGAGTTTTAAAAGAGGTGAGCACAATCCATAATGAACAGCTTTACATTCTTCAGCAGAAAGCTTAGTAGGATCAGGGCAGCATGGATCGTGTTCTACAGCGTGTACTGTCTGACTACGAGTTAAATCAACGACTGCACTATGATAAAATGTAACTGACGTCACTACGTAATGGCAGCTCACATAATTAGTGAGCATGCTAACGTTAAACCAAGCGTAAGTATGTTTATGATTATATTTAAAGTTAACTTAAACAACAATTTTAATCACTTTATTAAAATCAAAAGTAAATAAGTTTTTCTATTTGCTATATGATCGAGATGTTTTTGTTTTAGTTAATTTTAACAATACTCTAACTTGGTAAATTTAAATAATTAAAAATATTTATTTGTGAAAAAAATTACATTAGAGTAATCGCAATTATCACAACTATTAAAGTAAATGGTTTGATTTTGTACTAAGTTGCAATAACTGAATTATTTGAAATAGTTTTCAAACCATAAGATGGATATTCATAATAAGCTTTTACAAAATCTTATCGGGTCCATAAAATAATAATTGAAATTTAATATTTAATATAATTTTTAAAAATTTCAATTATCAATAGAGTAAAATTTGAAATTATGATATCTTCTTATGAAGTGTGATAGTATATTTAACAATAATATTCTTTTAAAAAAAAATTAAAGTTTTTACTCACATGACTTTATGATGTATTCCTTGAAGTCAAATCCAATTTTTTTATCCAGAAATATCTTGTTTATATCAAAATTCATCATACAAAACATATAATCGGATCTAATAGTCTTGGCAGCCAACGATCTTTTGTCTTGGCAGCCAACGATGTTTTTAAAAGAACGAGAGGTCTACAAATTATGGGAACCGTTTTAAATTAATTTAATTATTTAAACAAATTGCATAGTAAAATTGTGTATTTTATCTACGATAAAATTTTAAAAATAATATCGTTTTCTTTAAAAAAAATTAAAAAAAAAATTAAATCGTTTGCTTCAAAAATAAAACTTCTAAACAAAAGTCAGACAATAAAATTCTTTGAAAAGAACGAAACTCTTAGATGAAAGAAAACGATAACTATGAAGTCATCATTTCACAATCAATAGGGTTTAGACGCTGCCATCAATCAAGCAATAAAACGGGATGGGAGAAAAGAATTCCGTGAGACACACTTGTCGAACTTTACTAAGAGATAAGCTCGCAGGTAGAGATTTCAGGTTGCAAGAAGAAAGAGATTTAATGAAGAAAAGGCGAGATGTTGTCGTCATGATTTCAAGCAAGCTACATCCATGGAGCACTGTTGCTAAAATAGTTCCAGCCGCCATATAAGGATACGGGCGGGAGCGCTGTCAACGCTCGCCTAGATAGGAGAGCCAGCGCGGTTCTAACTTTAAATGAACAGATGAAGATCGGCGTTGATGTTTTGCCGACAATATTCTTTTTTTCTTTTTCTTTTTTCACTCAGTTTCTCCTTCTTTTTCCACAGTTGGCTACTTTATCGCTCTCTAATAGAGAGAATTGCTCGTTCTTTTAAGATTCTCATTTCTCTCAGTTCCGGAGGAGGAAGAATAAACAAAACCCAGTGGAGGAAAAAAAAAAAAGTAGTGACGTAATCTTTTCGCCCCCACTATTAGGTCGCAGAATATGATATATTTTGTGTCAATGTGTAATTAAATTTATGAGGCTTGGATTGTGATAAATTGCTCTGGAGCACCATTAACAGTTGTTTTACTCATTAAAGTATAAAAACGGATTATTTTTGCTTTAATTTTTAGAGTTGATGTCTTGTCATTTAGTTATATCAGCCCTAGGCAAACCAAAAAATATTGGATTCATTTTTAAATTCTTTTCGATAAAAAGACAGAATTAATGAAGGAGAAAATGGTACAATATACATTTACTATTGTAAATTATTAAAAACGTAAATTTTTGCAAAGTTATGTATGAATAGCTAGCATTAAAAAGCACAATTAAAATTATAATAAAGCAATAAAATTATTTCAGTTTGAGAAAGTCATGCTAATTAATACATTCTATGTCAATGTGTAATTAAATTTATGAGACTTGGATTGTGATAAATTGCTCTGGAGCACCTTTAACAGTTATTTTACTCATTAGAGTATAAAATCAGACTTTTTGTGCTTTAATTTTCAGAGCTGTTGTCTTGTTATTTAGTTATAGTGGTCCTAGGCAAACCAAAACATATTAGATTCATTTTTCAATAAATAGGCTGAATTATTGAAAGAGAAAGTGATAAATTTATACTTACTAATGTAAATTATTCGTAACATAAATTTTTGCAAATTTATATATGATTATCAAGCATTAAAAAACACAACTGAAACTATATTTAAATACAAAAATTATTTTATTTAGAGAAAATCATGCAAATTAAAATAAAATAAACAAAACCCAGTGGAGAAAAATAGTGACGCATTCTTTTCACCTCCACTATTATGTCACAGAATATAATATATTTAGAGTCAATTTGTAATTAAATTCATGAGATTTGGATTATTATATATCATTTTGGTATATTATAATCCGAAACATATCAAACCATTAATAGTTGTTTTATTCATTAAATGATAAAAACGGATTATTTGGGCTTCTTAGAGCTGTTGTCCTGTCATTTAATTGTAGCGGTCCTAATTGAAATGCATCTAATATGTAGCAGTCCTAATTGAAATGCATCTAATATGTAGCGGTCCTAATTGAAATGCATCGAATATGTTTAGGCAAACCTAAACATATTAGATTCATTGATGATAATGAATCTAATATGTTTAGGTTTAATGAAATTTTAAGAAGATGAATTTTTTTTTTAAAAAGTTGTTATATGAAAAATGCATCTAATGTGTTTAATATTAAATGCATTTTCAAATTTTTCCGATACTATACTCGCTGAAAATATTGAAAGATAAAGTGATGCATATTTTAATTAATAATGTAAATTATTATAAAGTCTTCTATAAATGTTTAGCTTTGCAAACACAATTAAAACTATAATTAAGCAATAAAACTATTTTATTTAGAGAATATTTGAAATGTTCTCTAATGAAAATATTTTCAATATTATCTATATATATATTTCTCTTACACGGCGACAAAAAAAAAGCCTCATTACAACTCCCCGAATGACAACGCTAAAAAATCGACCAATGATTGCCGCAAAACATGTCACATGCCAAATCTAGCTGAGACGGCTCAACATATAGCGCTTTTAAAAACGGAAACGGAAATAATCAGAGAGAGAGCAAAAGCTAGGCAGAAGTGAGTAGTCTTTGTCAATAGATCTCTATTTTAGTATTTTGTCGAAAGCGCTTTCTTTCACGAATTTATATATTACGAATTTATTTGACGATTTTTGATTTATATCACGAATTTATTTGTTTTACTAGAATTTATTTGTTTATGCAGATTTTTCCATTGCAATTCACTTATTTCAATTTTTAATAGACTTAATTATAGCCAAAATTTTAACTTTTTTAAAGAGATATCAGTTTTAGAAATTTTATCTTAAGATTTTATACTATAGCACATTTCTAATAGGTTTAACGAATTACATGTCATTTATTTGAATTCAAATTTATTTTAATGACTTAGTATTTACTAAAAGGATGAAAAAAATTTCTATTTAAAAAGTTGTTATATGGATTTGAATATTGTTTTGAATTCTTAAGAATTTTGTGCATTTGCAATTCACCTAAGTTAGTAGCGAGCGTAGCGAACTTAGTTTTCGAAGCAAACCATATAAAATTGCGTAGCAATTTTCGGGGGTTGGCGAGCGTCGCGAGCAGGGAGCTCAGCCAACTAGTACAGAATAAAACTATTCGAAAAATTCAATGCAATACCAAATTTATCTTTTTAAGATATTTCAAATATCAGCCCAATTTAGAATATCCTGAAACTGGAAAATAACTTCGATTATTAATTATGACATTATTATTAAGTTTTCCAGTTTAAAATAAAGATTTTTCTTGTAAATATTCAAAAAGACTTAGAGTGTTGAAAGAGTTTAAATAAAATACTATATTTATCTTCTTCCAGATACTAAATTTAGAATAATGTATAACTAGAAAGTAAAACAGGACGATCAAAACGAACAATCCGTTTTATGCGAGGAATAAAGTTTGAAACTTTATCAACTGTAATGAAAATAAATTTATTACCATTTTACGCCTTTGAGCATAGACATTTACGACTAATAATTCATTCCAGTTTATTTGGTTTGAACTTGATATATTGTTTTTGAATTTTAATATTAAAATTACGAAAGTGGGAGGAGTTTATATTATTTACTTTTAATTTTCCTTCATATTATAATTAAAAAACTAATAAAACTTTGATAAGTATTTATTTACCTTTAATCATCGATGCGCGCATGATGGAATAAATAAATTTTTTAACAGCTACGCATAAGGAATAATTAAAATTCATTGCAACTGATTCATAAATAATTTTAATTAAATTTTAATTGCAATTTCAATATAAAATTATTTCAAGTTGTTCAATATAAAATTAATTTTAATAAATGGTCTATAATTATATAACTTTGCTTTTGTTATAAATGTCTCTGGCTATTTTTAATACTTATTTATTTATTTATTTTTTGTAAAGAAATTAGCTTTCGAAAAGTAAATTAGTTCATTTTTATGATAACGAATTGTAATTAGGAATGTCTTTAAATACTGAAATAAATTGATAGTTTTAATTATACTAACACATGCCTTGAGATTATTTTAAACTTCATTCCGATAGTTATGGTTTTTATTTTCATATTATTTTTCATCAGAAGAAGAAGAGAGTTAAAATTTTTCTTCCCTTCAAATTTATAACAGCATTTCTGCTTGTTTTAATTTCGTGACAACATTATTAAGAGTGATTTTTATAATGCCTGAATTGTTTTTTTTATATCATATTTCAGTTGAAAATAAATAAATAAAATAATAAGCATTAAGAATATAATAGAAAGAGCAAAACTTTTATAATCTAGCATCGTCAAGCAAAAAAAAAAGAAAAATCTTTTTTCTCCTTGGAGAAACTATTAACAGTGTTTTTTGAAAACCTTTAGACAAGGAAAATAAGAAAGCTTGAGTTTAAGTGCTGTACACTTAAGGCATAGCTATAGTTTTAAACTATATTTACCATCTTGCCCTAAAGAATTAGCTACATTTTGAAACGTACATCGAGAAAAAAAGTATGGCCAAAACAATCATAATATGGTAAAATTTACCGTGTTTCTGACTCTATGGGCACACCAAAAAGCTCGGTAATTTTTACAGAAGCGCCTAGGTAATGATTTTCGTAAAATTAACAATAAAATATAGTTTTAAAATAAGCGATAAAAATTGGTAAATATAGTAAAATTTCATAATTTTAACATTATACGTTGGAGTAAGGCATAAAAACCAAATATTTGGTTAAATTTACCTTTTAGTTTTATATTTTTAACTAAATTTGTAGTAATAAGGACTATAATTTTGAAATCCAGAATTTCTAGTAAACCGTCAACGAACGGAAAAATTACTAAATGAATGGTTTAAATTCAGTATATTTTAGTCTTATTAACCAGAAAAATGATTTTTATTTTTACTAGAAATGTCATTATCCCACAGTATGAAAACTATACTAGAATTTTTTTCTGCATGTACAAACAACTTACATTTTCAAAAAGTTGTAAATAAAACTCACGAATATGGTAAGATTTTTTTACTTGGAAGAAAATGATTAAAATCAATGCATAATTCTCAATTTTTGAAAATCCTTCTGAGTCAAGTTAACACAAAGTTGGGAAACTTTTTTAAGTATTAAAATATTAGGTCCCAAACATTTGTAATTTTCACAAAACTATGACTTTTCTTCTTGTTGACGTTTTGCACCATTTTTATTATTTGCATAGAGGGCGCTGGCTAAAGATAAGTAAAAATTGATCTCAACAGTCAGAAACAACTGATAAATCTCATAACACTTATATATAAATAGAATGAAATTCGCTAAAAAGCGTTGTTTCACGTCATGCCATAGCAAAAGCAGCATTAAAAGTTTATTTTTGTAAAATGTAACTCAGTACAGTGCTCAGCACAGTCAGACGGAGCTCAGTACAGTTCAGTTTTGTATAGTGCTGATAGTCATCTAGTTTTGGTTAGGTTAGTCCACAAGCTTTTACCAGCGTGTAGCATCAAGTTTAAGCCACTAACTAAGGATGTTAAAATCTCATCAAGTTAAGCCACTAACTAAGGATGTTAAAATCTCATCAAGTTTAAGCCACTAACTAAGGATGTTAAAATCTCATCAAGTTAAGACACTAACTAAGGATGTTAAAATCTCATCAAGTTTAAGCCACTAACTAAGGATGTTAAAATCTCATCAAGTTAAGCCACTAACTAAGGACCACTAACTAAGCAGTTT